CTCTTCCTCTCAAATTTGTGTGAGCATATGTATGAGTTTTACTGTCCATTTGCTCCTTGGATTCAATCCGGTACGATACAAGAAAGGCCACCGATTTCCGCCCATTTATTCTGTAGAAACTAATCTTTTCATTTCTTGGACTATGACTTTATTTCTCAAAGGAACTTTGATTTGCGCAGCCATCTTTAATACATGTTGGATGAGATAAGTTGCTCCATAACTTCGAGTAAAAAGTAAGTTGAAATAGCAATCGGTAATAAGAAGAGTCAGCCACTTACCTAGTAGTCTATAAATAGACTTGACAAAATAATAGCGAGATCCAGGTATTTTTGTCGGCTCCACAGACTAAGTGTTGAAATCATTTCGAATAAGAATTTTTATCGTTTATCGGCCAGCTTTGATTTAAATTTAAGACAACATCCTTCTTTCTTGGTGGAGTTTCGATTATAGTCCTCTGTCTAATTTTGTGATCCGTACTCAAATGAAAGAACGAGTGAAATCGGTATGACTGACCAAAGTACATTTATTTTTCAATCCCGTTCTGTCGCAGAAAGTGCTTAAGGCCCAAAGGAAGGTTATAATTAACAAATAAGCTAATGATTTACCAATAAAATCAATGCAAAACTTGTCCTTTTTGGACGAAAATTCTGTAACAGAGATGGCTCCCAGGGAGAAGTTGCTTGGCTGCAAGGGACATTTTGAGGTTTCCATATGCTGTGACCATTAAAGTGTGTCATTTTACAAGGCGAAGAGAACTCACGCGATTACATTTTACTAGCAAATGGAAAGGCCCTTATTCTCTGAACGCGTTTTTATTCACTGTAATCATGAAAACCACAATCCCCTCGATTATACACAATCCCCTGTAATAATACTCGTGTTGCTTGAATAATTTTCGTTCTCTTACCGTAAGGTAGCCCCGCTTGATACGTTTTACCCAATAGAATAGTTTAGACGTTTATGCATGTTTTGTATACTAACTGATTTGAGATACATGTACTACAACAGCATGCGGAGGTGAACCTCATCTCTGGTACAGTGGGCAGATCTTGATGATTGCCAAAACGGAAATAACTTTATGGAATTTCACTCGTTTCCTGCCTTGTGTGCTCATAAAATTTGTCAGTGAAGTTGAGGCCGCTAGACACAAGTTACGTGACTCAGTACCATCATTTGTCACGCAACATTCAACATGTCCTCAAAGAGGCACGGAATGTTTTTACTCCAGTATTTCACTGAACATTTCTCTTTCTTTTTGTGGCATAAAGGTCATCTATAAT